CGCACAGTGAAAGGGATGCTCCCGGAGCTGTCGCGAGACTTCGGGGCGCCGGGGCCCGCGCGGTGGCTCCCGGAGATACCGCGAGGTTTCCTCCTCACTCCCCTCTCTCCAGGGTGGTGGAGAGAGCGGCCGCGAGTTCTCGCGAGATCACGAGACCCCCCCCTTTCGCTCCGCCGCGCTGTCCTTTTGTTCGCCGCTCTCGCGAGAGCTCCCGCGCGCGCGCGCGGCCCGGACGGCTCTAGAAGGAAGCAGGCTTTGAGTCACGTGGGTAGGTGCTGCCGCCATCTTGTCGCTCCCCTCCCCCGGGCAGTGGCGCAGCGCGTAATGGCGGTGCTGGGGGGGTGAGGGGAGGAGGGGTCGCTGCCCCCCAGAACACACCGGGCTCCGCCACTTGCCCTTAGCGCGGGTGCGGACACCATAACCTGTACGTCTGCACAGCTCAGACAGTCCCCTTTGCCCGGAGCCCCGGGGCACATCCTTGCGAGCCGCTCACCCCGACACGCTGCTGGTGGTGGTCGACACGAGTTGTTGCACACATCCGGCATCTTTTTCCCCCTAAAACCTTTAGTTGTCAAATCAAAGGACATGCCAAAGGTTCCCCCCGGCAGTCCCATTTTCCCTGTGGTGACAGTTTCACCCTCCCATTACATCCCCAAAATGCCCCACCTTGGACTCATTAAGACTCTTAGCCTGTAAACATCACTCAAATAATAAGCATTAAAGTGCCTGTCTTTAAAAAGAAAAGTATATAAATAACCCCCTTCCCTTCCATCACAGCCTGCTGACACAGAAAACACTGGAGCCACTTCCTGGAATTTGGGTCAGTAAAAGTCCCGACAAACATGCTCTGGGGGTCAGGACATACTGACGTATCCAAGGAAAAGGACATGAGTTTGGTTGTCCTTGATCCACACACAGCAATTATTCCTCCATTTCCCTCCTCCAACAAGAGAGCATAGGGAAGATTTAAACTCCAGAAGGATGGCTGGATTCACTGTGGGATTCAAAAGAAAGACAAAACTTTTCCACAGTACTCACACATATAGTTAATCTCTGCTTAGGTTTTCCTGCCCTTAAAGTTGGAGCGCCAGAACCAAAGTCCTCCCATTCCAGAAATTAAGCCCTGCAAGGTTTAAACATCTACAAACAAATCCTTAAATGAGCAAAACACCTTCTCACAGACAAACCTGTCAGTTCTGTACAGGACAGGGTCTGGCCTTAAACAAAACATTTCTCAGTTCTCTCCTTCACTCTTCCACAATGCTCCTTCATCCAGCTACAACTCCAGATTTAAAGATTTATATTTGTATTTCTTCCCCATGTGCACCTATTTATATAATTTAAAACCTTGCAGGTGTCTTCACTGAGGCTGCCTGACAGTTAAAAGGAAAAAAGAAAAAGTTTCTGTATTCTTTTAAAAAGCTATTACTGGATGGAGGCCCAAATTTTGTGGGGTTTTTCTGAAAGCAAGTGTCAAATAAATCTTTTAATTCCTTTTCTTCTTACTGCTTTGGAGACAATTCTAATTTCTGAACAATTCTGCAATGTTTACATCCCTGCAGTGTCTTCAGTGCTTTTATAAACAAGGGCATTGTTTGAGATTATTCATATGCACTAGAAAATGACATTAATTAATTCTTTGCTGTGCAAGTTTTAGAAGTATCATAGCAATTTAAACCCTGATCCTGCAATAAGGAAAGTCAGTTCTTGGGGAAATCAGTTTTCCCTCTGTTATTAAGTTGCCATCTGCACTAGGCAGGACCTAGTTCTCTGTTTCACTTTTATTCTTCCACAGCTGAGTCAGACACAATTCCCTGGAGGAAGCTGAGCAGCTCCTGAGTACCTGAGTCAAGCATTAAACCAACACTGGAGTCCTCACAAACCCTGCTTACTGTTAAACTCAGCAAGTTTTTATTGATGGGTTCGACCAAAACTGCTTAAAACCTGACACTGCCAGGTGCTTGGACACTCAAATCCTAGCAGGATTCCCAAATTTGCTGTTCCTTCACCTGCAGAGCCTCCTCTGGTAGTAGTACTGAAAGGCTACACTGTTAACCCCCAAATAGCCAGAAATACAGCTTTCTGGGTGTGGAGGAGGTTGCATTAGGAAAACAGTGTCACCAGCTGCCACCAAACCCTTGTGAGCTGTGAAGTCAACACGGTTTATGAAGTTGTATCTGCCTTTTAGAATATTTTTATCCAACACTGATAGATACTGACCTTGTGTACATGAGCTTCCTTATCTGTTTTGAAACTATCAACAGGTCATATGGTACTAACCATCTTAGCAAGCAGATTTCTCATCTTACAGAACTATGGCCTCACTTCTAAGGAAAGGAGATATTTTACTAATCATAAAGCAACTCAGGCCCTGAAATCCAGAGTGTGATACAAAATAAATCCTACCATGAATGTAATTCTCAGGTTGCAGTACTGAAAACTTGTTTCTTGTTCTACAGAGCTGCTTATGAGTACGATACAATATTTGTGTGAGTCTTTCATATTGTAAGCAGGGCAATAAAAATGTAACTTCAGTGTTGTCCAGCCACAGGTTAGCAGAGGGACTTGGAAAGAGTCTTTAGTCAACAGCGTATATCTCTCTGTAACATCAGAAATCTGTCTTTAACAGCATAATTTTTACATGCTCCATCTGATCAGTTCCCAAAGTTCTGTGGACAGTTTTAGGAGTCAAAAGGCAAAATTTTACTGATTTGGAGGAATAACATAAAAAGAAGAAGCACATGCAACCATTGATGGTACTGCTGGTGAAGCCTTCACTAAAAAGTCTGCATTTCCCTACAGCAGTGGCTACAAAACTCTTTGGACTCTTTGGGTAAGTTTTAAAATAATCTATGTAAAAAACTATGCAGCAGAATAAAATGGAAAAGCATTGTTAAAGCTGGCACCTTTCCTCTAACTTCAAAACAAAACTAGGCTTGTTGCATTGGACAGCTTTACCAGGTTCCTCACATTTGAAAAGCTGTCTCTGTTCAGACATTTCTGTTGGCATCAGGACTGGTGTAGGCAGTTCCCAGCACTTGCCATTTGTTTCTGTCCCCCAGGTGTCCCCTCTTTTGTCCCAGTACAGCTATTAGTGATGCCAGTCCGTGCAGTCAATGAAGGAACTGATCTGAATTTAAAATAACTCTGTTTGTAGGCATAGAAAGAGACCCTGCCTACATCAGCTCTCTGCCCTGGTAAATGTGTGTGGGATATTGGGTTGTGGTCAATCAATTTTGTCAATTTAGTGAATATTTCCTACCATACATGTGCCCTAACTCAGTGTTAGCCAAGGATTTCTCACACTTGCATTGCCAGCTGATGTAGTCCCCATCTCACTCTGCATGCCCAGCTCATTTCAGACTCAAATAAACTGGTGTGGAGAGGGTGCTATTTTTCAACTGGATCAGTCTGGCAGGGAGGCATCACAAGTGCCTCTGCCAGTCCAACATGAGAGGGGTAACCAGCCCCAGGCAGGGACAACAGGAGCCTGGAGCTGCTGCTGAAGGAGCCTGTGTGGAGCCACAGCCTCCTTCTCTGGGTAGGCAGGGGCAGAACAGAATGAGAGCACAGGATGTGCACCCACATTTTCTTGGGAAAGGAGTGCACTGGGTGCCCATTACACAAGCCATGGAACTCGGGGGGAATCTCAGGAAAATCTGGGCAGAATTTTCTGTTGCCTGTAGAATTACATCAGGTATCTTAGCCAAAATGTGCACAGGGTTTTTTTATTTGTTTTTGTCCTTCTGACTCTGTTTTGATATAAAATCTAAGTAATAAAGGAAGTTGCTACTAATAAAAACATTATTATTAAACTGTGCCTGGACAGCATTGATAGAATATTTACAGAATTTTCCACTATGCTGCAACACTATTTTCTGTCATTGCCTTTGCTGAGTATACATCTATCCTAAGTCTCAGAGAGGACATAATGCCTTTAACTCACCTGAAGAATTAAAAGGCAATCTGATTAAGAGCTACTCTGTTCTTTGGCTAGTGTATTGCCACCCAAGCATTGCTGGCTCTCCTTCCCTTTTCTCTCCACACTCACAGACTGGTAGATAGAATGTACACAATTGATTGGAGAGGGCTTGATGAAGAGCAGATTCGTGATGAATCTCTGAAAAGGTGCCTGGAGCGTGTTCTAAAGCTTCAAAGACATTCACATCTTGTCCTGAAAAACCACTAAAGACTGTTTACAGACAGCAGAGACTGTGAGAAAGGAGAGACAGAAAGTTTTATAAGCTATGACTCTAGAACGGGGATATGCAGAGAGAATTTGCCCATTTCAAACATATAATAATCCTTATCTGAAGCAGCTTCTCTTTCTCTCTTTTTTTTAAATGAAGTCCTATTTTTATTTTCTGTAATGGTTTAGTGACAAGATCAAGTAGTCACAGGTTTCTGTGGGAACTGAGGAAGCACAGTCTTGTCCTTATTTCTTCTTGTTACATGACAGAGGAAGAATGAGTCCGTAACTTTCACACAGGAGATACTTCTTGAGCTGGAGTCAGGGCACAGGACTGCCACCCAAGGCTATCACTGAAATGGCAGCAGAATAGAGGCAAAGGAATGGGAGATAAGATGAAGATGGTCCCCTTTTGAGGTAAGAGTGAGCAGAACAGCAAAGATACATCCATGCTGCTTGCTGTGAGCCTGCTGTGTTACATGCTTAGCCCAAAAAAAGGACTGGCCTGCCTGCCTGCTGGGGCTGCCTTGCTTGCCTGGGTCCAGAGGAGTGTAGAACTGCAGCAGGAGAGGCTTCCTCCCCCTCCCTCCTCCCTGAGCCCCCAAGAAGTCACTCCTCCAGAGCCTGATGGGATATCCAGACCCTCACTCCCAGCCTCCACCCCATGTCCCAGCTAAATATCCCTGCTTTGCCAAAAAGTCCCTCTGTCTGCTGTGCACCTCTCTTGGCTGTGGAGGATTTTCCCTGGCCACATGTGAGAGATGGAGTAGATGCATCCCGGGTTTTCAAGGAAGGGCCTTACTAGCTCTCTCCCCTCCTGTGTGCAGGGGTTTGACTTCTGCTGCCAGGGGTGAGCACCTGGCAAGCTTTGACCTTTGCAGATGGTGGTTGTGCAACATGGTGCAGCTGCCAGGAGTGCTCAGGTTGAGTGGATGGCCTCAGCTATCTGGGGAATGCCCAGTGTTGCTCCTTATTAAGTGAGAGAGATTTTCAAGTATTAATATTGTTACTGAGAGGCAGCACTAACTGAATGCTCCAGCTTGTGCACTGTCAGAACCATGCTGGACTTTTTCTGTGGCTCAGAGTTGTAGAGAGTTGTAGAGGGTGGAAGGGAGGGTATTTTTTGACTAAAATGACAAGGGTTGTTGTCCCGACTGGAAGAATGAATGGAAAGAATATGGCAGTTCTATGAACATTGAAAATTTCTGAGTTGGGCTCTATTTTTCATATCCCTAGATTCCTTGCTAGCTTGGATTTTAAAAACCTTAATCACTTTTATCTCTCTGCATTCGGATCTCTCCATTGTCCCCACTGGACTCCAAATTACCTTGCCTTCCTCTCTCAATCCCCAAGTTTATGCACTGCTTTGTCTTCACAAATGCTGTTTTCCATGTTCCAATTAGACTGAGGGCTTGCCTGCACAGGAAAGTTGCACTACTATTAATTTGCAGTTTGCTTTAAAGAAATTATGTTAAACCTGGGCAAAAGGCCATGTGGACTCCCTAGTATTTCTTTGCAGGAATACAAATGGCTTATTTCAGGTTAGATCAGGTCAATTAGGAACAGGAAGAACTTGCAAAGCAATAAATTTTCCTACACCAGAACAAAGAGAGCCCAGCAGCTTCTTCTGCCCATTGTGTCCTCCAAATGGGAGTGAAAAGCTGGGGGCATGGTCTTGACCTCAGCAGGAGTCTCAATCCACTGGGCAGAGGTAGCTGGTCCCACCAAAGCAGCAGCCGCTGCTGTCACTGTGTTCTGACACGAGCTGTGAAGCAGATGATGCCCACTGCAGCCTTTTTCCTGCCAGGACATCCCAGTCCACAGGGCAGGAGAGGGGCCTGGCTCCCACTCTGTTCCTACAGGTATTAAAAATTGAGTCCTTTGCCAAGTAAATTGTAGTATGACGGTATTCAGTAGGAAAAAGTCATGAGCATCCATCTACTGCCCCTCTTTGAATGAATGCCTGGAGTTAAATGTTGGTTTACAAGCAGACTGTAATTTTATGAGTGTGACTTTCTCTTGTAGACAAGCTCAAAGGAACAGAAGGTGAAGACAAAAGAAGAGAGACTTATAGCAGCAAGAAGAAAGGGAAGAGGCACATCAGTAAATCTTGGATTCTGTGAATTCTCATTGTTAACTGGTTTGAACTGGTAAGCTAGTAATTGCCTAAATCAAAACAGGCACCTAGTCAAGATGGCTCCTATATTAATCAGCATTAGTATTATACTTTGAAGAAGGCACTAATGTTTCTCATTTTGGTTTCTGTAAACCTCTTCTAATTACTATTTCCAAATACCAAATGTAACTTTTATGTTATGTAACATAAATGTAGCATTAGAGTCTTCTTTGAAAATCCTCTAGAGGGTCACTGACCAGAGAGTGTGATGGCAGCTCAGAAGGGCCTGTGGGATTGTCAGAGTCCCGAGGACACCCCCAGCTCCACAGCAGTGCTGGTCTCCAGCTCCCCACAGCCCTGCCCTGCCTGGCCATGGGCCCATGACCTGTCCCAGCCATGGCTGTCCCCGAGCTGGGGAGGTGCCCGGTGCCTGAGGCTGCCCCCAGCTGCACCTGGATGGGGAATGGGAATGGCCTGGGCTGCCAGACCCTGCTCTGATGCCCTGGGAATTCCCCTGCAGTCCCCAGTCCCCAGCCCTAAGGGATCTGCTACCCTTGCTGCCAGCAATCTTTGCTGTGCCCTGCCAGGAACTAAAAGACCTAAATCATTAACCAAACCCAATTCTGCTCTTCAAGAAAAAAGGGGAGGAAGGCCCATCCTTTCATTCCCTCACTGTTGCCACTGAGTGTTGATTAGGTCTGTCCCTTGGCAAGTGAGGGGTCTCCAGCAAGAGAATGGAAGAGGTAAAGAAACTCAAAGTACAAAACCTTGTAGAGTTGTGAGCAGAGGAGAGGGAAGGTCTGGATATGGAGGCACCAGCTGGAGCACTCAGAGGGGAAAGTGCTCTCTGAATGGCCTGAGTTAGCAGGTCACCAAGACCACAGGGCATCTCCCTGTTATCCCTCAAGACACTCAGAACTGGGGACAAAGTGATTAGCCCTCATGATTGTCAGAGTTGGGACAGGATGCAGATGCTGTTGCAAAAATTCAAAAAAGATACAAAAAGATGTCCAAACCCTGTGCATAGTCACGAATCCAAGAATAGCCCAGGAGACATGAAAAGGGCTTAATAGATGGCATCCCTTGTGTTCTCTATGGCATCACACAGATCCTGGACCCATTACCTGGGCATGGTCTTCATATTGCCTGGATTTTGGATAGATGGCTTGAACATGATGACCTGATGCCTGGTGGCTGCACTTGTGTGAGACTGAATGTGGCTGAGTGAAACCTGTTTTGTTTCAGTTTTTATTTTAAATGAAATCACTTTCTTCCCCTTCCCCTCCTATATGTTTTCTACATTGTTTATACATGTTGGAGTAGTAAATAGGAGCACCTAGCTGCATAATCTTTCAGTCATATCTCTTGTGGTGGCAGCAGAGAAAGAACCATAAAAAATTTAATGTCAGTAGAAAATAGTCTTTTTTTCTGGATGGGTTCATCAAAGGCCACCCTGTCCCTCTTGCTGGCTTTGGTCAGCAGTGGAGGTTACACAGCTGGAGCTCTGGCCCACTCCATTGTAAGAGGCTTAGCTCAGGCTTCAGCATGCACATTGCAACCTTTCCACTTAAATCATTAAAGGTAAAGGGGTTTTGAGACATCTAGTCCACCACACTGCCTTAAGACTAAATATATCCATCCACTCTGGATGGATGCTCATCGGACTGGATGTCCAGAACACCAACTCCATGCCCAAACTGGGGTAGGGCTCCCAACCCTGGCAATAGTTGTCTTCTCCTAAGGGGCAGGGCCCCAGGATGCTGTCATGTCAGCACACCCACTGCTCCTCAGCTGTGAGGCAGGAACCCCTGCTTCATGCTGGGACTGAAAAGCTGCTTAGTGAGCTAAAGGCCCCCGGCTCCTTTCAGACACCCACGGACACGGACACGGTGGAGCTGAAACCCTCCCACCCCTTTCCGAGGCAGGCAGCTCAGTGCCTGCAGGGAAGCAGGAGCTGCTGCTGCCTCTCTCTAAGACAGCAGCTCCTGGTGACTTCCCCCTTGTCTAAAAGATGGCACGATGGTGGTTTTCAGCTCCAAGAAGTGGCTGCACTTGGCTTGTTGTGTGTCACCTCACTGTGAAGTAACTTAAGTCTCCCTGTACTCATCACTTCTAGCCTGTTCATAGTAAACAGGAAAAGTAGTTTATTTCCTTCCTCTTTGCAACTGCTTTTTATATATTTGTGTGCTGCTATTCTGCCCCTCCTCAGACTTCACTTCTTGAGACTGAATTGTTTTTCATTGTGCCTTACAGTTTACATCTTCTGAACTTCTCGTAGAGCAGCAGTTTAACATTTAAATGAATATAGTGTTCCTGAAATGAGCTGGACTGACAAGGCATGGAAATGGAGACTACTGTCTTCACAGATTAGACACCACAGTGGTAGGAGGAGTGAGAACTCCATACCTAACTTGTGATCTGGAACATCTCTAGAGACAAGAAGACAATGTGGTGATGAAATATATCTAAGTGGTTCAGGTTTCCTCCTTAATCAGTAACCTCTAGGCAGCCTCTGAGGATTCATTTGTGCCAGATGTGGTGGTGTTTTTGTGATATGGACAAAACATTGCAATAGCAAGGAGCAGTGTTAACCAGCTCATTTCATATGAATTACCAGCCTTGTGGGGGCAGAGCATTCAGGCAGGTTCATCTAATCAGCTGTAGATGGACACATGGAAGGATCTCCAGCCAAGTCATCTCAGGCCCCTCTTTCAGCTGCAGCGGAGAAAAAGGCACTCGGAGGTCATGAATCATCTCATCCCAAAGTAGGTATTTAAAATAGATCAGATAAGACATACCTTTAAATTGCCTGTGGGGCAACAGGCTCAGATGTAGAGATAGACACTGTAGACATCTAAAATTAGGTGAGCTGAATCTCACCTGTGGAGTCCATCAAAGTGGTGACACAGGGGTCAAAAGCCCCACTTCCTGTGGGAAACCTTCAGAGCACATCTTCTGCCTTTTTGAATTTACAGCCACCTCAAAGCAGCCAGGTGTCATGGCTGATGAGAGACATATGAGGGTCTTCCACTAAATGGCTACATCTTACTGATTTTCGGAAATAATTTTTTTTAAATCCTTCTTTCTTAGTTTAGTATCTAAATAATCATTTTCCAGAGCAGGAATAGTTGCTTTTTCACATCTGCTCATGCCATCAAGGGAAATTGGAAAAGCAAATGCTTGGATTAGGAAGCAGTGATGTTCATCATGGCTAAAATAATGGTATTTTGTTGAGGGGAACTTTTAGGTTGATTCATCTGATATAGTTAAACTGTAAAGATTTATCTTGCAGAATCTTTGGCAAATAAGTACTTCAAAAGAGATTTTTTTACTCTCATAGCATCTTCTCCCCCTCCTCTCATTTTTATTCCTTAGTTAATAGTTTGTAACTAAGGAAAAAGCTTCTCTTGATACCATAGCACATCTCCTGACCCACTTCAGTGCAAATGCATACATAACCACTTGTTTGTTTGTACTTCTACAGGTGTTGGTGCTGTGCAGATATGGGCTGTGGTTAAAGTTTCATAATGGAAAATCTGACAGGCAGTTAACTAATCCATGAGTCATATTTCGTAATAGCCTAAAGGTCTCTGATGCTCGACCTTCATTTGATACCCTTGCCATCAGGCAGTTTATACATGACCCCTCTGAAGAACATTCTTTATATAGATGACTGCACTGCTGCCCTTTTATACCTGCAAGGATGGGCATTGCACTTACTGAACCAGGGGAATCTCCCATCTCCCTTTCCACCCCTCCTCTCCATGAACAGGACTGCAGAGGTGCACTGTAGGACACTCACCTGGGGAATGAGAGCAGTGGAAATCTCTCTGCTTAGTTTAAGTCTTCTGTAGGACCCGGCTGAAAGGTGAGGAGAGGGATGGGGAGCTGTTTTCAAACTCCATTCACCCTAACCCTGCTGAAGGGGTTTCTGATTGGAGCAGCTCCAGTAATAAAAGTAGCAGTGGAACTACCAGCACTAACAGAGCTCTGCTGGTTTCACCTGTGCATGGCTAACTTCTGCTCAAGGCAGGCCAGACAGACACAGAACAAGACATCCTTTTTTTGCTAACAGCATTCCCAATGCCAGGGTCTTAAAAGGAAGGCCTAATGTGGAAAGGGCTGGTCTGGAGAATCTACACCTCTGTTTTCTAGCCAAAGGGTGAAAAAGCAGCACAGTGCTTATGAGGGTACCTTGGCTTTCAGGACTTCTCAGGTCCTTTCTCAAAGGCATTGCTGCTGTTTCCAAAGCTAAAATAAAGCAGACACATGACTTGGTCACTGTATGAGAAGTTTACATACTATGACTCGTCATAATAAAGAAACCTAAACAAAAGCCCAGTGTGTCACTAAAGCTGCAATATGTTTTCCATGCTAAATTCTTTTAGGTTTGCTTTGGCTTCTTTTTTACAGCTGTGGAATAGTAGAATATCTCAGGGATATTAACTCTGACGTTGCAGGATAGAAAGTTCTGGTCTTCATGAATGGACCCACTATAAAACAGAGCAGAAGGTTATCTTATTTTTGAAACACTCTGGCATAACAACTTTTACAGCGGTGCCAAATGCTGGACAACAATGAGAGTGGCTGAGAAGACAAATGGAAAGAAGAAAGCAAAGGAGAAGGGTTAACTTTGGCTGCCTCTTTAAGAAACTCTGCCATTTCCAAGTGACTATTTTATAATTGTCTCTGAGATATCAGCAGACACCACGAGTGATGTATATGTAGCATGTGAGTTGCCTGCTGTATGTGGAAAACTGCCTAGGGAGGGATTGGCACAGTGGGAGGGGGAACATGGCCAGCCTGACTGTAGGCACCAGTGAGGAGTTTAGTCATCCTGCTGAGTCAACAGGAGACATGGCACCTCCAAAGGTGCTTTTGCCTACTCGTCATTCCATGTTAGACAGCTGAAGTTATATGGGAAGAGCCTGTAATGACAGGCTCACATGCAAGCTGCTGTTTATGCATGGGATTCATCTTGCTTGGCTGATCTGCATCACCAGCTCCAAACCTCTTCATCTGGAATAAAGCTGGTGTCGGACTGGGCAAGGCTTGCTGGGGCTGTTTCTTGGGGCTGTCCTTGCAGCTCTTCTCAAGCAAATGCAGAAGGTAAGGAAAGGCCAAACAAAGGTCCCAGTAGGATTCAGGTTCGTTTCAGAGGGGCAGCAGTGTTTGAATCCTGACAGCTTTACTGAAAGATATTTTTTGCTATCATTGAGGGTCCCTGCAAGATGAAGGACCCAGCTGCACAAATCCCACTGGGAGGATAGGGCTGCTGACACAAATGTAATATAATAAAACGCGTTACAGACGTGTACAACTCTTGTCTGATGATCTGAGGGACTCCTCTCCCAGTTTGCCCTCAGTACCCCCTGAAGTCAGTGTAACTATCACCTCCAACAACTCATGGCATTGGATCATGATATTTGTAACAAACTTCTGGTTTAAAGTGCCAGGATATAGGAACTATATTGTATGTCTGTTCCACAACATGCTGAACTCTTGCTTTGTCTGAATTTTTGCCTTTTTAAAAGTATTTTTTAAGGTCATCTTAATATCAGAAGAGAATTTTCATTTTGTCCATCTTTCCTCTCTTTATTGCAGTATTGGCTGTAATTAAACTCTAAATTGCAGGAGCATCGTTACCTGACATTTTTCTCTCTTTTCCAAACAATTCCTGGAACTGAAAGTTAATAAAAGGAGATATACCTTTTCAGTTCTTTGTTCAGCTCCCCTGGCTTGTTTTCAGCATTTGACAATGCTTTCCAGGCTCTCAGTTTCACCTCCCTATTTTCTGGTTCCCTGAGCTTGTGTGGTGCCTTTGATGCTGCAAAAGGGCAAGATAAAGCACTGAGGAAAAAAGGTGAAGTACTGTGACAAAAGGACAGGCATCACCCCAGGGATTCATGTACTGAAAGATCTTTAAAATTCTTCTCAAAACTGACTAGTTGGGAGTTGACAGTATCCTTTTAAGGACAGTTTATGTTCAGAAATCCCGGTTAGTCTTATGAGCAAGTTTTGGCTGAGCACAAGTGCTGATGACTTTTTGAAATGAAAAACATTTCTAAAGACGAAAATAGCTAGTACTGAAATCTCTCACAGCCCTTATTTACAATTTCTATGTGATCCCTTGTCCAGATTTATAATGATTGCTTGCCAGCAGAACTTACAACTCTGTGGATTTGTCTTTAATGTTGTAATTAAAACCAGGATGATTTTCATGGGCCCAGAATAATTTGTAATTCTTGTGAGAGCTCTGTCTTTTAAGTGGCCTTACACAAGATGTAATCTTCACTGACCTAAAGCATGCATACACAATTTTTTTAAAAATGATTGATGTTTTCATCAAGCAATTGTATACCTTTGGGATCATTTCAACCTGATGCATTTAAGTACAATTTTCCCAGCCTTTCTCAAGAATTTATAATGTTCTTAAGTCATATCTAAGTAAAACACTCCTTTTTTTTCTTCTGCCAGGTGCCTCCAAATAGCTTGCATCTTTTAGTCCTTCTGTAAGAGGTAAAGATGTGACCTTTCATTCTTCCTGAACATTTTCCCTTTTACTGTTCACCCACTGACAACATATGCTGGGGACCCTGCAGTGACTCCCCAGCATTTCCAGAGCTATGCAGTCTAAAGACCAAAACCTTCTTGTTCTCCCTAAATATGGGATCACTATGTAGTGTAACCCCCAAAATCTGATCTCCTACTAGTTCTCCATATTTGTTAGGGGGGGTGGATGTTCCTTATGATACAACAAAAAGGCCATGCTGGCATCCCTCACACACTGAGCGGGGCAGAAATGTGTTACAGCAATAGTCCGTGCGGGGTTGTTATATGGATGGGTGGAGAGTTAGGTCCTCAAATGTGAACTTCTTCTTATTGGAACATGTAGCTATTTTTGAAGTCTGAAACTTCATTAACAGGATTCCTCTACGGATAACTTTGTCCTTTTAACTTGTCCTTACAGCTTTCGTTCTGGGAATATTTAATATAAGGTGTTTTGATTCTTGAACCTGCCTGTGCCTGGTAGTATTAATAACCCGGGGCAGGGAATGTTTATATAGTACTGAGCACCATGGCAGCACTTGGTAAATAATGAAATAAATCGCAGGCTTTGTTTCTGTTCAAATACTGTGTTTGCCTTCTGTGGATACAGATCTTCTGGATCCTGCTCAACAACCTCATTTGGGTGAAACTGGATATTGCACCGATTTTATTCCAGCTCCTTTAATGTATGGCAACTGTACAGACAGTGCTCTGGATAACAAAGAACTCAGAGTCCCCCATCTAAACCTAAGAAAAAGCCAAAACCCCTGGATCCTGCACTAAAAATACCTACCAGGATTCTTAATTTTTATACAAATACACAACTGAAGTAGAAAAGGCAAGAAGCAAATCAACAACTGCAGCATACAAGGGTCCAAATTCACCACCCCATTCCAAAATTCCAGACATGCACTGAAAATACCAGGCCTGGGAAGTAACTCTGGCTGCTACTGAGGGGATGCCCAAGCATGTGAGAACCAACATAAATTAGAAATGTGAAGAAAACCCACACAAGTTCACTGTTCTAAAGCACTGAGCAGAGAAAATTGGGAAGACCAGAGTTATTGCATCCTACGACCTCGGCCTTCTGGACCCACATGCGGTGCAGAAGCCAAGGGGGACGTGTGCTGTAGAAAGGAGCTGCGTGTTTCCCTCCAGAACAGCCTGAAAGCTGCTCAGGAATCCCAGCACTTAGGACATGTCTCAGAGAAGTCATTCTGTGGTTGACTGTGCCCAGCTCACATATGTTTTTAATAGAAGCATTTAAAATAATTTCAAGACTGAGGCATATACAAGTTAAACTTTGAGTACAAGCTGAAGAACAAATAGAGCTGTGCTAAATTGGTTTCCGGTACAGCCTGACAATATACTCAAGATGCTACCTAATCCCAAGTGATCCCTGGTGTGTATGTAATCTTCTACCACCAAGTCAGTCTTAAATTTGTAGGTGAGGTTACTGCATTCTTAGTCTGATTTAATCTCTTTTCCATCAGGAGTTGGCAAAGCTGAGAAATACTTCATGGCTAAATTCATCTATATTTTACTTGTGATATTTGTACTTTTCTATTTTGAATATAAAATATAGGTAAATATAATCCCTATAAATGTGTAAAGTAATCATGCATTCATTATGAAATAATAATACTTACATTAATCAAAAAATTAATAACATTTCTCCATAACTTCATTAATGCAGAGTCAGCTGCACTAAGGGGCCTTGAGCTGGGCCAGAAGACAAGAAAGGACAAAATTCAACTCCAACAATCAGCGAACAAGGAGTTAAGGCTTTACAAACTGAAGCCTCTGCAAATCCAGACTTAAATGCAGAGTTAAAAGCCTCTGCCAACTCTGGAACAGAAACTAAAGTCTGCTCCTGCTTCTACCACCAGGAAGCGACTGCAGCCAGGGGAAAGTGGGAAGGGATAAAGGAACAGTGGGGTGAGAGACAAAGTCTAAAAGACCGTGAGGATGAAAGGTGAATTCACCATTATCAAATGAATGCCCTGAGAGTCCTGGCAGTCCATCAGAAGGTGTGAGGTCCAGCAGATGGTTTCCTGGTCAGAGTTCTGCAGGAGGCCCAGCTGGACAATCTGGGATGTGCAGCTGGAGTTTGAGCACTGTCTGCTGCCTGCTTTGTGCCACAGCTGTAGCAGAGTCGGATGGTGGATGGGCAGGTGAGGGGCAGCATTGCTGTGGATGCACTGAGAAGAGAGGGACATGTATAATGATGGTGCAAACACGCCCTGTGTCAGCCCTGAATTGTAGGGGCACAGAAACAGGGAGCTGAAGGTACTGTCTGAGAAGAAATGTCTGTGGAAAGGGAAAAGGCAGATACCATTTGCATGTCTGGGCTAGTGTGAATTCATCAGGCTCTGTGTTTGAATGGGTGCCAGGTACAGCATACAAGTAACTCCTGTTTGCTGTGCCTGACCTAAATCCAAGTGTTGCTTTGTCAGGCTTTAACCAACACGTGTTCTGTCTCCCTACTGTGTAGTCACACTGCTGGAGACTGGGTGTTAGCACTGGGAACCTGATGATTCAAACACAAAGTATGAGAGGCTGTATTGTGGCAACAGGGAGGAAGCGGGGACATGTAACCTCACTGTGTATTTTATGGTGGTCAAAGGTTTCTGATCACCTTAAAAGAACTTTTATCTGGGAAGTTTCAAAGGACTAAATATAGACCAATTGCAAATGCTAGATGGCTCCCCAAGCAACCCACTTCCCTGCTAACAGTGCTTGTGGGGATGTAACATCTTGTTTGTTTGTTTATTAAATAGACCTTTTTCAGATCAACATCTATCAGAGCCCAGCCCTGCAACTCCATTTTTTCCCATTCCTTGGCAATGGGCCCCTGGCAAGAATGCACAGCCAGCACAAGTCCTGGAGCTGCCTCTGAAGCCTTGATGTTCAGTCTCACTTGTCTGGGGGGAAGACAGGAGGAGTGTTACACAAGAGGTCTTAGGGTGGTAAGATAAACATCTGGTATTTGAGCCTCTGCCTTAAACCACCACATCACCATGAATGGATAAGTTTTCAGCAGCAGGAAGCCAGGAATTACACTCAGTAGGAAGAACTGCCAGCTCTTCTGTGATTCTTGCCTCTGGATAGGGCATGGGAGAAGTGCTCCTGGTAGGATATCTGTGTAAACACTGGATCCCACTCACTGCTGATACTGATGATGTGGTTGAACAGACCAAATGCACCCTGCCCACAGGTGATCCCAAGGTCCTTTTCTCAGTGGAAGAACAGCAGGTGAGCTTGGTGTTGAAGACAGAGAGGGTGAAAGTGTCATCAGTGAGAGATGAGATCACAGTCAATTGAGGTGGTTGCTGTGTAAGTCCACTAGGCCCCAACCATGGGATGTGACATTTTTCTAGGAAGTGAAGACATTTGTTTCAAAGATGCATGTTTAAAACCTAGACAAACAACTAAATAAAAAATAAGCAGTAATGAAAGGGAAAAGAAAATCCACAGGCTAAAAAAGGGGTGCCAGCAGGTAGCAGGGAAGGGAGCAAAACAACTTTTGGTCTAGTCAGGTGACAAATGCATAAAGTTGCTAAGAATCAGTGGTTTTGCTGCATCAAGAAACTCTGTCTCAAGTCAAGAAGTAGTGCAGGTGAAGTGCAGTGAGCTCAGTACTGCACATTCCCCCTCATGCTCTAATCACCACGTGTGGGGTACCATATACATCCAGTTGGCCAAACACACACCTGAATGCAGGTGTCACCACAGTGCAATGGTAACAAACGTTGTCACTCAAAGGAGTACAAGGAAATATCCGTAAAATTACCTTTTTGGAGGAAGGAGCAGGGGAGGAGGAGCAGGAGGTGGCTGTGACCACCCCAGCTCAAATGGCCTGCTATTTAGACCATCAGTATTACTCTCTATTCCCTTACAGGATATTTCAAGACAACACAACAGAAGTGAATTGATGAGAACATAGAATAGTCCACACATAGAAGCAGTCTTTGGGTTTCACTGGGACAGTACTGCTGTCCTGCTGGGGGGTCACCAGGGTCCTGAGGAGTTCAGTCTGGGACCCCCATCCCAGCATCCTCTGGCCTGGATCTGCACCATGGCAGTGAGGGCACTGCCTGTTCCAGGGCTACCTGGGTCTTCCAGCTTACAGTGCCAATGGGAGCACCCCACTCCTGACATAGATCTGAAAGACTAAACCCAAAACCTTCTCAAAACCAGAGACTATTTATGAATGCTGTCATTCTTGCGAAGCAAAATCAAAATTAGTGCTGTTGCAGGATGACAGACGTGGAATAATATGCCAGGAAATAAAGGAAATATATGCCTACAGTACCTGAATCAAGATCTCAAAGTACAATGCCATAGGCAGAGAGGCTGTACAAAATCTTTAGATATTTAACCACTTGTATGTGTTCCTGTGGGAAGGGAAATGACAGATTAGTTTTCCTGTGGAGGATTCATTAGTATTCTGTCATTGGCAAGTCAGTATTTTTAGCTTAGTGAGCTCAAGATGTATTGTGGTTTAGGCCTCAGAA